TGGACTTCTTGGTAAATCAATAGTAATTTTAATTATTCGGAGATGCTACGGTCTCGTTACAGAACTATTCCGTCGGGGTTCGTAACCGTTAGATCAACTATCCCCGACGGTTACATGATGATCTAACGGTTACAAATCACGACAAAATGGTACCGTAACGGGACCGTAGTATTTTCCTTATATAATTATTGTTTGTAGTTTTATGTTCTTTTTTTTTTTTTTTTTTTAGGATTTTCCTGTTACACGTGCTTTTATAAATTGACTAATCATAAATTGTATGTTTTCCAATCATTAATTTCAGTAATTAACATGGCACGGCACAATCATAACACAAGTTATGATTTTCTTACACAAATTATATGTGTAATGATAATATTTAGCTAAATAGTTTCACGAATTAAGCGACAATAATATTTTGTTTTTTATTGTGCAGGCAATGTTGTCTCGTTCATGGTGTTTCTTGCTCCTATGTAAGAAAAAAGTTACTAGAATCAACTTCCTTAAATCATGACTCTACCATACATATATCCATGTGTTGTCTAAATGTATCGATAAATTTATTGCAGCTCGACTTTCTACCAAATTTACAAGAAAAAATCGAGCGAAGGCTATCAGTCAATCCCATACGTAGTCGCTCTATTCAGTGCCGTGCTATGGATATATTATGCCTTCCTCAAGACTAACACCACACTTCTCATCACCATAAACTCAGTTGGCATTGTTATCGAGACAATTTACATTGTGCTTTATGTTGTCTACGCCTCAAAATCGGGGAAGGTACGTAAAAAGTTACAAAAAAATAAATAGTTATTTCACATATTTTTCTAAAAGAAAAATATTAGTTGCATCATTTTTCACATTTAATTGAATTAATGCAGATTCAGACGGCGAAGCTTCTGGGTTTGCTCATGGGATGTGGCGCGGGATTGATTGTTGTGACTCATTTCCTCGTGAAAAGTCCCGTGCAACGTGCTACCATCGTCGGGTGGATTTGCCTAATATTTTCTTTGTGTGTGTTTGTTGCCCCCTTATGCATTGTGGTGAGTATGATCAAATGGATTGAACAACAAATACACATACATATATAGACAGAATAAAGTATTTAAATTATGATAAGTTAAGTTTGGATATTTATATATATTTATATAAATTTTGCAGAGACATGTCATACGAACCAAGAGCGTCGAGCACATGCCATTCCTTTTATCGTTCTTCCTCACGCTTAGCGCGGTTATGTGGTTTTTCTACGGCTTGTTGCTAAAAGACTTTAACATTGCGGTAAGTATGTAAAAATCATTCATATATTATGTAATATTAATAAAAAACAACAACAACAACAACAACATATTCAGTATATTCCCAACTGATTGGGGTCTGGAGGGTCAGTTGTACGCAGACCTTACCCTTGTAGTTAATAAAAAAACATTTAAAAAATTATGTTGGTTGTCAATCGTCTACAGATTCCGAACGTGCTAGGGTTCACCTTCGGCATCCTCCAAATGGTGCTCTACCTAATGTACAAAAACCCGAAAAACAAAAGAATGGAAGAGCAAAAACTTCCTCAGATACGAAAGCAAACTCATGTGGTAGTCGATCATGAGGACAAGAAAAACGTCGAGATCATAACGATTAACAACACAATCGACAAAATTCCGGCCGTGCCCCTGTCGTGCAAAAATGAAGTCGAGCCAATAATATCTCTGCCCCAGAACATGCCCAGGCATTGTGAAGTTTGATATATGGGGCATGGTTCATTGATCTGCATGGCATCTAATTATTATTTAATTAATTAGCTGTTAGTAATTAATAATCTAATAAATAATATTTTGTTTAGTTTGCTTTACTTATAACTTTGCTCTTAAATTGGGCTCTGCTGGGAGACAGCAGACTTTATAGTATATATGTAATTTTTCTCTTTCTGCATTGTGGTGACTAATGAAAAAAGTGGATGCCATTTGCTATATATACATAAATATATATGCGGAATGTTTTATTTTGTTTTCTCTTTTTTTTTTTCGTTTTATAAAACTAAATAATTATAGTTGAAATTATATATTCTGGTTTCGAATTATGAATCGAATACGTAATTAACTTACCAAATTAATATATTTATGCAATTCTCATGTAGAGATTTGGAGTAAACGAGCATGAGCTCGCTCGTTCATCAATATTAATAGCTGAACTCGAGGCTTAATAAGTCGAGTTATAGAAAATTAAAAAAAAAAATTCTATTTTCGAGCCTCAACAAACTGAGTTGAGTCTACCTCACGAGCAATTCGTTTTATTTAACAGCTCTATCTAATGCTTAGTTGGGATCAAATGAGACTTAAATCGGGTCGTAAAAGTATCAATGTAATAATTTATATTCATCAATCATACATATACATACATATAGTTCGCATGATACACATTGTATAAACAATTACTTTTTTTTTTTAGCCATCTAGGTTTGTGAAACACAAATTTTAGCAATGTTTTGGCAAAAAACATATTTTTTAGACATTTTGGCACTTAAAAAGACAAAAATACCCTTACTATCAATTTTTTAAAATAAAATCATCTCTCTCTTCTCTCATCTCTCATCTCTCATCTCTTATCTCTTTTCTCTCTTAATTCATTTTCAAATTTAATTCACTCATCTCAATAAAAAAAAATCATTCTCTTAACAAAAAAAAAAAAATCATTCTGTCTATATTTTCAAAATACCGACAACATTCCGATCAAATTACGGTAATAGCTCGGAAATAACAGTGCAAAAGTATGTTTATAATTTATCATTTTCCAATGGATCACATATACATTTTTAGAATTAATAACATGAATATTGCAAAAAAAAAGAAAAGAAAAGAAAAGAAAAATGCAGAAAATCGATTTATTGGAACATTGAATGATTTCTGTTCTAGAAATCGATTTCTGGTCCACAAACGAGAAATCGATTTTCTGGTCCAGAAATGATTTCTACGTTTCTGGATCCAGAAACCAATTTCTGGGATTTCTGGACCAAGAAATCGATTGTTGGTCCAGAAATCAATTTCTGGCACCAGAAACAGAAATCGATTTCGACATTTCAGGGACCATAAATCTCTGGTCCCAGAAATCGATTTCTAGGCCCAGAAACGTTATTTATGTTCCCAGAAATATGTTTTGAATCCCCAACATAATGTATGGGATCCCAGAAACGGTAGATACGTCATAAAAACAGTTTTCGAATCGTATAAACCATTTATGTGAATCCAAATATCATTCTGGTTCAATTTATTTGTTTTATTATAAACATTGATTACATAATTCTCAAATGATTATTGGGAATTGTTTGTCAGTAAAATACTTTTGCATCTTGTTTTAAAGATGTGTGAAAAAGTTCGGATTGTGCATAGGATTTTGGGATGAGAATGTTTATAAAAATGGACAGGCAGAGATGAACTTTATGAGGTTAGGGGATTGGTTGTGAAATCACCGACTAATCCAAAACAAGCCAAACGACCAAGGATGATCCGAATACCATCCACTGGGCTTCTTCAAGTTCTGGAAATCATCATTTTGTACACGTTGTAATGAACATGGGCATTACTCCACGACATGTTGTCATGTTGTCCCTCAAGTTGATCCCTCGACTATCGCTTCATTGTCAAGAAAAAAAGTTTGTAGGTCTGCAATATGTAGACAACCCGGCCATACTAGACGCACTTGCACACAAGTGCAAATGTAATCATCGTTAATGAACTTTTTTTTTTGGCAAAACATAATTGGGATGTTATTTGTATGAATAATTTGTGTGTGGTTAATGACTTTGTGGGACAAATTGTTGAGTGTATTTTTGTTATGTTAATGTAATCATCATTTTATAATTTATTTATTTTTTACATTTTTGTAACACTCTGGGCGTTCCCGTGCGTGAACTCCGTAGCGTCTAGAGTCACTAAAATTGTCCAATTGTGTGTGTGTCGTGCCGGGAAACCACGCTATTGTAACGACATGTATTTGTAATTAAAAAAAATAGTGTTTAAAAAAATATATTTATACACGCAAATCGCGGATCAACTCTCGACTCGCGGAGAATGAAGGATGTTCCGATCAATGAAGGATGAAGGATGTTCCGACTTGTAACGCCATGTATTTGTCCAATTGTGTGTGTGTCGTGCCGAGAATAATTTGTGTGTGGTTAATGACTTTGTGGAATAAATTGTTGAGTGTATTTTTGTTATGTTAATGTAATCATCATTTTATAATTTATTTATTTTTTATATTTTTGTAACACTCTGGGCGTTCCCGTGCGTGAACTCCGTAGCGCCTAGAGTCACTAAAATTGTCCAATTGTGTGTGTGTCGTGCCGGGAAACCACGCTATTGTAACGACATGTATTTGTAATTAAAAAAAATAGTGTTTAAAAAAATATATTTATACACGCAAATCGCGGATCAACTCTCGACTCGCGGAGAATGAAGGATGTTCTGATCAATGAAGGATGAAGGATGTTCCGACTTGTAACGCCATGTATTTGTCCAATTGTGTGTGTGTCGTGCCGAGAATGAAGGATGTTCCAACTCGCGGAGAATGAAGGATGTCCCCAAAGCTGAGCATGAAGGATGTTCCGATCAAGTTAAGTTATATGAGAAGAATGTGGTGGTTATATTATATACACATCGTACATGCAGGCTTACGTGCCAACCAAAAAGGGCAACAAAAATTAACATTAACAAAAGACTTGTTGAGCTAAAACAATACTTCCCAACAAGTACCAAACACCATATGATTTTATTCGATACGTTAAATAGAATTGCCATTAAATTGAAACAACCAATATACAAAGTTCAAGTGTACATCCACACTGAGTTTACATCATCACCAAGGGATATTCAAACCCAAAACCAGAAACCAAAGAGGCCAAAAAATAACAAATTGGCCACACTATGCAAAGCATCCTTACATACAAAGACACCTAAACAAAAACTACGAAAACAGATCTAAAACAACAGATCCTCCAACAAACCAGATGCTCCTACAAAAACATCCAACAAAGACAAAAGAAAACAGTACCACAATCATCCAAATCTAAAATCGTTTATAGAACCAAAAATTATTTCCGGGATCCAGAAATCGTTCTGGTCCCAGAAATCATTTCTGATTCCAGAAATCATTAAAATATCACAGAAATGGTTTTTGAATCCCTAAAATGGTTTATGAGATCCAAGAAAACAGTAAAAACATCTCAAAAAATAGTTTTTGAGTCATATAAACCATTTAAACAAATGCCATATAAATAAATGTCGTTGGATTCACAAAATTGAAGGATTTAACAATTTACACCCTGAAATTTGATCCCGAAATTGTTGTGCTATTACAGTAAACTCATTCACTGAATAAACCAAACTCATTGACTGAATAAACCATTCAAGAATTTGATCCACAATACAAATTATCTTGCTGTTATAGTAAATTTATTGAGTGAATAAACCATTCAAGTCTATCAAGTCAAATTATCTTTGCTGTTATAGTAAATTCATTGAGAATGCATCACTAAATCCACTCCTTCACATCAAGGAATCAGAAAATTACTTGCATTCCAATTCCAAAATTTCCAACATTCCACCCCTACAAATATTGCCTTACTCTTTATCCCTAAACGCAAAAACCTCATTAATCACCATTTTATTTAAAAAATCTTGTAAGAAACAAAAGAACAGAGACAAAAATGGTCTCAATTACCATTATACTCAAAACAATATTCGGACTATTAATTACCTTCATTCATCTCTCTACATGTGATCTCTCACAAGAAGCCACAAGCACCCATAGTACCGGTCTAACTCTGGACCTAATCCACAGAGACTCGCCTCAATCTCCTTCCTACGACCCCTCACTCTCCGATTCTCAGCGCCTCGCCAACTCCTTCCTCAGGTCTCTCAAACGCCACCAGCATTTCAATTCCCGAAACATCCTCGCATCATCCCTGCCCGATATCGACCTTGTCAAAGTTCCTTGGGAATACCTCCTCAAATATTCCATCGGCACGCCACCCGTCCCGGCCCTTGGCATAGCAGACACGGGCAGCGAACTCACATGGATCCAATGCCAGCCCTGCCTCACTTGCTTCAACCAAACCCTACCCATCTTCACCCCAAAAGCCTCCTCCACTTACAAAAAGGTCCTCTGCAAGACCCGAGTGTGCAGCTCCTTCCTGGGTAGCAGCTGCAGCCCGAGCCGAGGGACCTGCGTCTACTCCGAGGATTACGTGGACGGGACGTACACTCGGGGCGAGCTGTCCACGGACACTATCAGGCTGGGCGGGGGCAAAAGCGTCTTTTCAGTCCCGAGCGTGGTGTTCGGGTGCGGGTTCAGGAACAACATCCATTTCGATGGTGGGGCGTCGGGAATAGTCGGGCTGGGCGTCGGGCCGCTCTCCCTCGTCCGGCAGCTGGGCCCGCTGGCGCGGGGGAAATTCTCATACTGCCTGCTCACGCACTCTGACAAGTCGAAAACGAGCAGGCTGCACTTCGGGGACCGGGCCGTGGTCGCGGGCCCAGGGACGGTGTCGACCCCTCTGGCCAGGAAGTTGCCGGAGTTGTTCTACTATGCAACAATGGAGGGGATCAGCGTTGGTAGCCAGAGGCTGGGGTTCAACGACGGGCCGGGCCCGGCCCAGGAAGGAAACATCATTGTGGACTCGGGAACCACGCTGACGTTGCTCCCGCCGGGGTTGTACGGGAGGCTGAGGGAGGCGGTGAAGAGGTCGGTGAATCTGAGGGAGAACCTGAAGTATGAGGGGGTGTTGGACCTGTGCTTCATCAGCCGGCCGCAAGACAAGGTGCGGATTCCGGATGTGGTGGTTCATTTTAAGGGGGCGGACGTGAAGTGGAGGCAAGACAATTTGTTGGTCCGGACGAGCGATGAGTCGGTGTGCCTGGCGGCTCGTCCCGCGGAGGGTGATGCTGTTTATGGTAACATTGCGCAGGGGAACTTCTTGGTGGGGTATGATCTGGAGGCAAGGACTTTGTCCTTTAAGCCGGCTCAATGTGCCCAATCGTGAGAATATGTGTGATGTATTGTTTGTGGGGTTGAGGCAGATTATAGTTATATGATTACTATTGTTATTTTTTAATAAATGACTAAACAAATTGGTTCAGATTCTAACGATTATGTAGTTCGTTCGATCACGGGACTCTTCCAGCTTAACCAGTGGTCTCGTGTTCGAATCCTGAGAATGCAGCAGTGTTAAAACTCTTGAGGGAGAGCTTTGCCGCCCTTGTGGTCCTACCCGACTCGATTCCGGATTAGTCGGTTCCCTTGTGAATCCGGAAACCGGAAGGTCCCTGTACCAAAAAAAAAAAAAAAAAGATATTCAATAGCCAAGTTCGATAGGCCTATTCGCCCAGTCCCAAAAATAATAGTATCAAATCATCTATTCTTTGCTTGTTCTTTTTTTTTTTGGATCGTTAAACCTAAGTCCATAAGAGCTAGCTTCTAAGGGTGTGTTTGGTAAAACTAGCTGATAAGCTAGCTTATAGCTTATATGTGATAAGCTAGCTTATAGCTTATAGCTTATGACTTATAGCTTATAAGCTAGCTTATATGATAAAAGTGTTTGGTAAAAGTAGCTTATAAGCTAGCTGAAATAAAAAATTCAACGAGCTTATTTTGAAACGCTACCTAAACAAGCTTATCAAATAAGCTCGAGCTTTTTAAATAAGCTCGTCCTACCAAACAAGGCTTATTTAATACAGGAAGCTTATAAGCTAATCAAATAAGCTATAAGCTAGCTTATATGTCATACCAAACATACCCTAAGTTAATCAAATATATTAACACCTCGTTTACACTAATATAAATATGATTTCAAATGAATATATTTATTTTACGATAGTGGAAAAAAATATTAGTTTTATTTATTTTATTCATCATATAATACTCAACTATAATTTTATTCTAAAATTAATATATATACTTGTTGTCACATAGTGTCGTTATCATTATTTTTAAAAAACTTTTAAAAGTAATTTTTTTTATCTTATGCAACGATAAATATTTAATTTACGTTGATATTATTTGTTAATGTAAATAATTTAAAATTATATAAAAGAATTAAAATAAAATATTATGTATATACACATTGTGATTCTATTAAACTCTTTGTACTTACCGTATCTCATAATAATTGGAAAATAATAATAATAATTTTATATATTAATATACAACATTTATCAATAATAAAAAAATTGTAAGAAATTAAATAAATTAGTATATCACATTGAGAAAGATAACACATTATGAGTTTAATAATATGAATGCCTCTTCAATAAATATCAATTTCAAGAAACCTACACTCATTGGATTCTTTGCAGTTCAATTTCCATTATAAATTTTGAAAACAAAATTCACATGAGTAATATTATTCATGTATTAAATTATTAGTTTACATCAACTCCTAGATGAGGAATGATGCTCATGCTACGAATTATGTCAAGAGTCATTTCAAGTAATTTTTCACATAATAATCCTCTCTATATATAATTCCGAATACGCTGAGCCTACGCGACTGCTTATGGTGCTTCAAAATCCTATTTGGCGAAGAATCATGCTTCGTAATTAAGTTTGGATAAATAATATTGATATATTAATTATTAATAATCTAGGTTCGGGTATTCCATAAATATTATTTAGCTAACTTAGGTATTTTAATTTCACTTTTACTAATATAACCTTTTAATTCTTTTCAATTTTACATAGTGAGACACTAAGTGACTAATATATCCCTGAATTTTGATTTGTTTCCTTCAATAAGTTATTGAATTATAAATGTATTTTAAAAGTTGATAACTTTTGTAATTCTTATCGGTTTTACATATATAATATATCAAATTAATCATCTTTTGATGATCTTCGATTTTTGACATTCATATTGTATATATGAAATAAATAAATTATATTTATCTTTATAATAATAAAAAATAATAATATTTATTAAAATTCATTAGAAAAATAAAATTATTCCTCAATTGATATATTTATATGTAATGTAGTTATATATTGTAAGTTAAAAATAAAAATTGTATAATATAACACAAGTAAGTTGCACAAATAAAAAGTGTCATAATAAATATATAATAATATATATATTCTTATAAAAAGTATTTAAATTTTCAAACTACTTTTTTCTCATTAATTTTAAATTTTAAGAAAAAAAATTAGCAAGCACCCGTGTAATACACATGTGTTGTACTAGTTTATGTTTATAAGAAATGTTAACATGTCATTCATTTTTTTGACGATCTTATATCAAGGAAACTAACAATTGAGATGCGCCACGGTTGAGTTCATAATTGACGACTGGTACTACCGAAAATAGTTATCGCATATCGGTTTATTTCTTAAGAAGCCAGTTTCATAGTTATACATTGTTGTCTCTAGTGTCACTAACTGAAGTGGTTTGAAATATTGGTATGCGGTGACGATTATTCGCCAATAGATGAATCCAAAAACCTTGTGTATAAGGGCACATTCAACAATTTATGATTTTTTAGTTTGTTTGACACCTTTTTTAATTTTTACTACACATATAAAAAAAAAGGTCTATTAATTTTTATACTGAATATGTTAAATATTGGAAAAATTGCAATTTTAGTCCTGTTGGTTTGATCCAGTGGAATTTTTAGTCCTAAGAATTGTAATTTTTGCTATTTGGTCCTATAGTTTTAAAATTCAATGCAATTTCTGTTATTTGGGACTGAAAATGCAACAAAATTTAAAATCACATGACTTAAATTGCTAATAAAAAATCTTTTGGTTGAATTTTTTATTGGTAATTTAAATCCTGTAGTTTTAAATTTTATTTAAATTTCAGTCCCGAAGGTCTGAAATTGCAGCAAAATACTAAATTACAGGATCAAAAGACAAAAAGTTGAAATCTTGATAGTAAAAATGGTACAGCATTAAACCAGCAGGACTAAAAATGCAATTTTGCCTTAAATATTCTTGGAAAGTATATCATATACTCTCACACAAAAGAAGTTTGATCCCGAAATTGTTGTGCTATTATAGTAAACTCATTGACTGAATAAACCATTCAAGAATTTGATCAACAAAATCTTGCTGTTATAGTAAATAAATTCATTGAGTGAATAAAAAACCATTCAAATCTCTATCAAGTCAAATTATCTTTGCTGTTATGGTAATTTAATTGAGTGAATAAATTATTCAAGTCTATCAAATCAAAACCACTTGAATTAGAAGATTACTTGCATAAGAAAATCAATTGCACATATTCACTTGAATGAGCAAAAATATTTGCATCCCAATTCCATAATTAATTTCCAACATTTCACCCCTACAAATACTGCCCTTACCCTTCATCCCTAAACGCAAAAAACTTATTAAAGAATAGTCGGTTTCCTTGCGAATTCGGAAACCGTAAGGTCTTTGTAAAAAAAAAAA